CTCTCTCTCTCTCTCTCTCTCTCTCTCTCTTCTCTCTCTCTTCTCTCTCTTCTCTCTCTCTCTCTCTCTCTCTCTTCTCTCTCTCTCTCTCTCTCTTCTCTCTTCTCTCTCTCTCTCTCTCTCTCTCTCTCTCTCTCTCTCTCTCTCTCTCTCTCTCTCTCTCTCTCTCTCTTTCTTTCTTTCTTTCTTTCTTTTTGTTAAAAAGGCTATGCATTTGTCTTGCGCAGAGGCTTTTCTGCTCTGTCTGTCTTTGTTAAACTGACCTTTACTTCCTCTTCCTTGCCTTGGTTTGCCCTGCAGTTCCCTGTTTGTCCTGTATCTTCTCCTTCCCCTGTTTTCCTCCATTCCCCAACCTCTACTTACTCTTCTGCCCTGCCTCCTCCCTTACCCTGCCTGCCTGTCCTAACTCTGCTCTGCTCAGTCTTGATGGCTCTGCTTTGCTGTCCCCCGTCCTCCCTTTCACTTTCCTGTCCGGTCTTGTCTTATCCATCAGAAAACTTGTGACCATGAAATGTGTGGAACAAGTAGTATCAGAGTATAGTTATTGGAAAGTCTTCAAAGGAGAAAATATAAGGAATAAGGATTTACATATAACTTCCTTGTTTACTGATGAAGGTTTCATGTTGATTATATATTGTGTCAGGATAGGGATGTGTCAAAGAGTCGATGTAGCCAACAAGAAATAACAGTTTTATGGATAATGTTTGCTTATTTATTTATTTTTGGGTCTTATGCATCAGATATCTATTGTTTTTCTTTTTGAATTAATTTTTAAACTCAAGAACAAAGATTTTCTCTGTACCTGCAAGGCAGCTTTAAGTATGAGGATAGAATAATTTAGTTTTGAAATGATTTTCTTTCTGCTGTGGGGGTTTAGGTGTGTGTGCGTGTGTATGTGTTTTTTAACAAGAATAAAATATCCATACAATAAGCTAAATGTTACTGATCAGACAGTTGTTGTACTATGAAGCCTCTCTTGTAAGGCATTCTAGTTTGTCCAACTTGTTATGCTAAAATAGTAATATACATATATTTATATAATTTTTTTGATGATCCAACTGTTAACAGTATTATTAATAATGTTATTTATTGTTAAAAGTTATTATAGATTTTAGTCTATATATTAGAGAATAAAAGGTAGCATTGAAAGGGAGTACCTGTAAAAGTTAAATGTAAGAGATAAATTTAGTCATTGGTTGATAGTGTATTGTGAATAAGGTCAGATGACATGGTTTTGGTTGATATTTTTATGGGGTGCTGCACATAACATCAACATGCACCATTAACAAAGCTTGACTAACTGATTTGTAACTGCTGTAAGTTCAAGTGATTTCTTTTCTTGCTTTTTTTTTTTGCCATTGGTTTCTTCTCTCTTCCAGTTTTAGGTATAGTAGATTACCCTCTTTCTTTTGACTGCATGTATGTTCGTTGTTTAGGTTAAGGGAGGTCAGAAGACCATGTTTGCTGAAAATATGAAATGAATATGGCTGGTTGATCACGCTCTCTTCAGCATTGAAAAACAACAGTATTAAATTAATAGCATGTCTGATATTACTTAAAATGGTGAAATGATTAAAGAAATTATCACCATTTGTAAAATTGATCATGCATTGTACATATTTTTGAATATATATGTTTTTTTGTAATGATATATAACAATTATAAGAAAATACTTTTTTTTCCTCCTCATACTTGCCATTGATGATGCACCTATTATTCTGATAAGTGATTAGATAACAAAACTGTTTAGTTTGTTTACATATCTCATATCTGGTCTTTGAACTTGTGCATCTAAGAGAAAAGTTGATGTTAGTGGAGGAAAGAAGTAAAGATTTCATAATTGTAACATTGTCTCTAAACCTTATTGGATTTTACAGTTGGGCAGTGGAGAAGGATGCTGTAACAAATATTGGCCAGATGATGAAGAGCAGTACGAACATATCTCAGTGAAGCTTGTGTCGAGTGAAAGCTATCCTAAATACTCCAGCAGATCATTCCTGCTTACAAACACAAAGGTAAGGTTTATGTAAGGAACTTGTTGTGAAGGTAGGTGTTTATTTGAATAATCAGTATGTAGTTGGCTAGGAATGAAACGAGAACACTCATTATTAACCCAATGTCAGTGGGCTTATGTACTGTCCCCTTTAGATTTTAGTGAGTTTCATTAGATACAGATGGCTCCACATGTGCTTAGCAGCAAGGAGTCTATCAGTTGGCCCTAGTGACCAATCCTGATTCCCCCATTCCTTCAATTGGCAGGAAAATGTGTTTTTCTTTCCAGTACTATTAATATTGACATTTTTATCATTCATATTGATATGTTGAGTATTAGTGAATCTTTCAAAAAATGAAGGAAAAGGGTAAACAGATGAGACAGGGAAGACTGATAGTTGCCTCCTTGGTGACTAAGCACTTGCAGAGCCATCTATGTGTAAAGACAGTTTATAAATTTTTTTTATTACAGTGGACATTGTAGTCTTGACACCCATGCTCATTGGGTCAAATAAGGGTCGAGTTGTTAGTACACCCAGTATAATTTGTACATGAATGTTTTCAGTTAGCATTTTCATAGTTTGTTAAGTATGAAGCCTTTATACAGATTAAAGGACTTTTGATGAGTTATGCACTTACTGCACTCAGCATTTTTTTTTTTTTTTTTTTTTTTTATATTTGAAAATATTTCACCTACGGTATCAGTTGCCATTAATCCCTTTATACTTTATCAGTGGTATACCCTTTTATGTAATTCTTTTTATTAGTGTTTTTTTAGGCATTAATTTTTCCTTCTTTTTTTGGTAAAATGTTGATTCTGATATCCCAGACTCCTCCTCCTTCTACTCAGTTTTGATTATTTTCCTCATTTGTGAGTATTTTTCTCCTCCTCCTCATCCTCATTTGTGATTATTTTCCTCCTCCTCAGTGGTGATTATTTTCCTCCTCAGTTGTGATTATTTTCCTCCTCCTCCTCATTTATGATTTTTTTTCTCTTTTTTCCTCTTTCTTTTTTATATTCCTTTGATAAAAGTGTATAGCCAAGAAATGTGTCTCTATTCATGCTGCTTAGGACTTGTACTGTTTTAACAATAGTGGGTTATAATCCTTTTTTTTTCTTTTCTTTTCTTTTCTTTATTAACAGAATGGTGATGCCTTGACGGTGACACAGTTCCATTACATCGGATGGTCAGGAGCCTTAGGTGAAGTTCCTCTGGTGACCTACGGGATTATGGAGATCATCACACGAGTACAGGCCCACACCGATGCCAGTCTCTCCACTGCTGCTCCCACACTTGTCCACTGCTCGTAAGCTTTGCAGAGATTTAAGATTTTCATGGCAGACGCTGTTGTGTGTATATGTTCTCAGTGGAAGGAAGTCTTGTAGTTACGTCAATTTTTATCTCATTTTGTATTTTATATCCTAGCACTGAAAATGCAAATGCAAATAAGAGAACATAGTTGCAATAAGTTACATTTGTGAAAAGAAATATCTTGGCTCTTCCAGGGGTGGTGGTGACCGCAGCAGTGTATACGTATGTCTCAATAATTGCCTACGTCAGCTCCGGAGGGAAGGGAGAGTAGATCTTTTCCAGACAGCTCGCAGAATTCGGGCTTTAAGACAATTCCAACTCCAAGAGTTTGTAAGTTATTGTTATTGTTATTGTTGTTATTGTTATTATTATTATTATTATTATTATTATTATTATTATTATTATTATTATTATTATTATTATTATTATTATTATTATTATCATTATTATTTGAATTATATAAAGTTTGAAAATCTATATTTAGGGGTTAGGTTTAGGAATTGTCTTATTCCCTTATGAGATCAATATCTCACAAGAAACTGAGAAATTGTATTAGTAAAATCCGATGCAGTGTATTCCCAGTCCCAAAAGTGAGAAGTTAAAGTTACCAACATTGATATATGATGATTTAAACTGTTCACTGAGAACTAAATTCAGTATTTTTTTTTCTCCCTCTTTCTTTCCAGGCCCAGTATGAGTTCTCCTACAAAGCTCTTGTGGAGTTCATAGATAACAAGGGTTTAGAGAATCTGTGAGGGGAACGTGAAGGTGACTACTACAGGAAGTGGAGCCTCTTATTTTAGCAGACCCTGTGGTTACTTTGGAGATATATTTCTCAATTTTATGAGGTAACATCACAGTGGATTGCAGATGATGAACATTTTAACATATACTCAAAGTTTGTAGTGAATTGCAAAGATCTGTGCATTTCATCTTGTTCCCCTGCATATAGTAGGAGACAGTGATCTGCAAGTATGACTTTTATAGTAGTTTTTTACCGTCAGAGTTAATGACCTTTTTTAATTTCTTTTGGAGAAGTTGTGAAGAATCTCCCACCGGTAAGGTAGCATCACAGTTGAATGAAGGGTTAGGGACAGCTGTAGTGATAGAAAGTCAGTGATAGATGTTGCTGTCACTTTTGACTAAGTAAAGATAGCCGGCCAAAATGTTTATGACAAAGTGTAAGGAAGTGAACTTTGGTAAAGAATATGGAAGTTGTACATAGATGTGGATGCATACACATAAACCCAAATAAAAACACAAGCACAGTCAATCACTAACAGTCAACTACACATACTCAGACAAACAAACAAACAAACAAACAGACACAGAAACACAATTATGAAAACAAAAAAGATTACACAAAAAAAAGTTAACCAAGTATACAATCCTAGTGTTCAGGAAAATGTTTGGCCTTCAGAAAGAAGCTGACCCCACAGAATTCCCTTCAAGTTGCTAGTGACGTTACTGTTGACACAAGCGCGAAGGGAGTCTTTCCTTCGTGTAGTTTATGCTTGGTTTGAATACTGTTAACCTGTAGACTGTAGTGACAATTAAGGTTATGACTATAGCAAGTAATAGACAATGGCTAGTGCTCAATTGTATGTACTAATATATTTTATTGCTCATGATTATTATGGCTTAATTTCTTTTATATGATCAGTATCTACTTAGGTAAGACAGTTTGTTTTCTCATTACTTTTTCTTTTTTGATTTTGATGTAATATTCAGTGTTCAAGAAGAAAGATTGTTGATTTGTAATGTAGGCATTGATATAACCATGTTATTGTCACTGTGTTCATTTACTGCATATATCCATCTTGTTTTAAAGATATACAAATGTACGAAAGATATATGAAAATGAGAGAGAGAATAAGAAATGAAGAAAAAAGCAAATTATTCTTAAGTGGAACTTGGATAGAACTGTAGGCTATATGTCCATCAGGCTATGAAGATACTTGTTGGGACCATGAAATTTTTACATGTGCATTTATGGTACCTTTTTAAGCCCAGGAAGGGACTTAGCTAAGTGACTCATATCAAGACTTTCTAGGAATGGTGTATTTTTACTGATGGTTATGGTCTTGTACTGCTGCTGTATCAGTATTTTTGTTTTTGTCTTTTTTTAGCATAACTGCATGGTGTAATAGGAAAAACTGACAAAACCTTTTTTATTTGTAGAAAGTAATTTGTTCCTTGAGCTTCACTGATTTAGGAAGTGTGGTAGTTGCTGCTGTCATGGACTGCTAGGCAGAAATTAAAGAACTTAAGATAAAATGTAAGAAAACTGATGAGATCAGTTAGGTTTTAGACATTATATAACTGTGTCCAAGGCCTGAAAAATCAGAAAAGCTATTATTTCAAATTTGTTTATTATGTTCTGTGGAAGAAAATATGTATTTTATGTTTACATATCAAAAGTAATGATATTCCAGATGAAATTTTGTTGGTGATCTTACTTATGGATAAGTTTTGAGTAATAATTGTTATTGCAGCTATTTTGAATTTAAGAACTAAGCTAGGGGTTTCACAGTTAATCCCATTTTCACCATTTCACTTTTTTGTAAGTTGTCTTTTACCATTTTTATTATCATTAAATGGGAACGATTATGGATAATCTTCAGATATCATTTTTTATTATTTAATGTGATTAATATGATCTTTTTAAAGATCTCAGTTGCACTCATTAGCATTAAAGATATTTCTGTTGTATTCTGATATTTGTGAATATTGATTTAGAAATCCAAAATATGAAGCATTTCATTTATCAGTTGATACTACTGCAGCTTCATTCATGATGTGGTGGATGCATTAATGCTATCCGTGCTGTACATGGTATGGAACTTCAGGATGTTTGTGTTCTGTCATTATCATAGTTTCTTTTAATGTCTAAAGTAATTTTGTGATTATGCCTTGAGTATTTTAGTACGCTATGAAGAAACTGTCAAGTATATTAAGATGAGGGTTGGAGAAGTTGGCAGGACAAGATTCTCTTTTTGTTTTTTTGAAGCATCCATGAAAGTAGGCATTGTGCATGGACTGGAGGCTGGAAGCTGATGAATGTAAGAGAGGCCTGAATCTGAATTTCTTGTGTGTCGTATAATGATTCATTGAGGATATGTAAAATTAACATCGCCATTCATTCAAGTAGCATTCCTTTTATAGGACAGTGTCACTTTCTTAACTTTTCTTTCCTGGTACACTGAATATGTGAACAGTCTCTTTAGGTTATTTACCGCTGCATTGCTTAGTGGGATTCTTTCTTGGAGGAAACTGCTGCTATAGCCAAAGATATGTTTAGGGTCAGGCAGCTAGGGACATGCTACGTATTGTTCTTTCTGCCTTGGTGCATTGAAGGGCTTGCTTATTTTGTAATAATTTTTTCACTCATTCTTTTACTTTTTTATGTTTATATTTTGTCCTTATTTTATTATTATTATTAATTTTGTTTTTGTTTTTATTACTTTCCCTCTTGAGTTTGTCCTTATTGATAATTCTTTAAGTGTATGATAAAAGAATGAATATATGTAATTGACATCCCTGTAATGTAAGGTGATTTCAGGGTCACAGGAAGGGATAGCATTGTGTCGCACAAATTGAGCTGTATTGGCTCAGTACCAAACTGTTTAAAACTGAAAAGTGTAAATATGTACTTGTTCTTTTACATGTATCATGAACATCCTAAGCTACTTCCCAACAAGAATCACTTCTACATCCTCAAACAAGGAAAACATGTACATTTTTTAAAAGTGACTGCATGCTGTTCTTGGAACTGAAATCAGGAACTGATGGGAGAAGAAAGAAAGAAAAAAAAATATTTGGCACAGGTGAGCTTCACTCCCAACTGTAAATAATCTTACAATATATAAGATTTAATTTCAGTGTAAAGCTTGGTTTAATGTGCTGCTCCAGCAAAATGTGTGTGAATTATTTGCAATTAAGGTAACCGTAGTTCCTGTACTGGTTCTCTAGGTGAGTGATTGGTCGTTGAGTGTCAAACAAATTCATAGTCTAAAATAAAAGAAGGTCCACCTTGCCAGTTCCTGACTTGTCCATAATTCATAAAAGGGCTGATCCATCCCCAAGCTCTCAGTAAGTCTGGCTGCTCCTCTTTGGAGCATCCATTCCACGGGTACTAGGTATAGCTGAAAGAAAAAAAGAAAAAAAAAAATAGAACAAACTTTTAAAAAATACCGCTTTTCATATGCTTTCCTTTGTCTTGTATTACCTAATGCTAATATTGATAACCCTAATTAAAGATAAAAAAGAATGTGAGTATATACACCCTGAAATTGTTTTAGGAAAATATTTTCTATACTCAGTCTGTCCTGATTAATTCCAGATACATAGGGTAAAAGAGGTGTAGTTATGTACTTGTTTCAAAGGTTAAAGTAGCTCTTAGAACTAGACGTAAATGTTCATAATTCAAGAACTTGTGAATAGGATACATGTGGCAGATTATTCCTGGGTTCGAATACCATCTTTAATTTGCATTTATTTTACTCTGTGAATTTTGCATTTCTGGCTTCAGGTGGATTATTTCCATTATTTTATTCCTTAATTGCATTTTTTAAATGTCATTGCACAAGAATGCGTCTGTGGAGTTGTTGACATTATTTTTGTTCTATTTCTTTCATATTGTGTGTTTTGTGTAGGATATAATATAGTACTATTATTATTATAATTTTTATTAGATTTTTTTTTTTTTGCATATCTCATTTACGATTAGATAATTTTACTCTGTTCTGGGGATGGTGGATTCACTCATACCTGATTAATTAATTAGTCTGTGGATATTTGTAATTCCTAGACCATGTCTCTCTTTTTTTTATAATAAGTTAATGAATGTTTTTCTTTTTGCCTGAACAGTATTGTGGTTTCCACTTTTTAATTTCTTTTCCAGATGAATGCTTTTGATATCTTGTAATTTAAAACAAATGATCACTAAAGAAACAGAAAATCCTTTGTAATATGTACAGTATTGTTAACAACATTCACATTCAAATACAACATAAACACATGTAATGGCAGGCTGGTACAAAGAAATGCAATGCTTACAAAAAAAATTACATCTTTATCACTGTTATTATTGTGAACTTTTTTTTTTATTGTTAGACATTGGTCAAGTGAAAACAAGAATATTTACAGGCAAGTGGAACTTTTTTCTGGTATGATCTGAACAACTCATGCTACCCAAACCAGAATACGCTATGGCTAGTCCGGCAATAGTCTTTATGCAGCTTTAGGTCTTCCCAAAATTAGCACAATAATGTTAAGTCTTGGCTGTCACTGAATGAATAAAACACTGAATGTGTAGGAGAGTGAAGCAGTGTGCGACTGTGTTCTGTAAGGTAACAAACGAAGGGACGGTGTTTTAAAATCACGTCCCTTCGATGACACTTGTACCAAGTTGCAGAGTTCATTTCCTTCGTCATTCTATCATCCACATTTTGCGTGTTCATATATGTCAATAGAGACATCAGTAACAGTTACTGAAAGCTAATACATAATGCCATTAGCATCATAACCTGTATAATCATTGTTAGTTTTAATATTTCTGATTAGAGTAGGGAAGTGTTTGAGATTATGCTTACACTAATAACTTGAAGACCAACAAACCTAATGCTGTTTGAAATGTTCTGAAATGGAACCCTTAATTTGTGGCATAGTGGTCTTGCTTATATGCCAATGATGAGAAGCTGTTGAGAGGTATCAACCAGAAAAATGATAATGTCAGTCTACAAATTTTTATGTACATTTTATAGAGAGATACAGCAACAGCTTTTATTGTTTGGCATAAGGGTCTCCTCCATCAAATTACATTTTTTTGGTAAATTAAAAAAGTACAAAAATTTGGATACTTCCTTATGTTTTTTTTAATGTTTGTCTTTTGGAGTGTTTTACAGCAGTAAGAATCTATTGCAAACTCATTTATAGGAAGTACCTGCAAGATTGTGGGAACATATAAGACATTCCTCAAAACAAACTATGATTTTTTTTTGATTTTTTTTTTATTTTTTCCTTTTATATAGCATTAATTTGCCTGCCACGATTATAGGGTTGTACACCTGTCTCAGAGATATGAATCAGTCAGAAGAATAGAAGAAGAAAAAAAAAAAAAAATGACAAGCTCTCTGAAACTGGACCATCTATTACACCTCAATCAGTAACATAACCAAGTATGGGTACTACAATTGTTCCCTGAATTCTCGAGCTGTTACTCAAGTATGTCGTTGGTGTACTGATATTATGTTCAGTGTCTTGTGTAGCACAAGCTAGCCTCTACTGTGTTATATTTTAACTACTTGTGTAAATATTGCTTTTTTTATCTCATTGTATGACTATTTATGCTTTATACACTAACCATTTTCACTGTGTAGTCTGTTTCTACTGTACATGACAAAATACAAATTGTCTCTCGACCGAATGATTTTTTTCCTTATTCAACCTATTGGTGTGTTAGTAATGACTCTGTGTTTTATATGTTTGGTAATTTTAAGTATAGTTTCATGTTCTTGAGAATGGGAAAGACCATGACAATTGAAATCTGAGTTTTTAGCTTAAGAATAGGGTTAGAAAGTGAAACCATGATCAGTGTCAGGAAATATGCTAGGATGATTTTACAGCAGATAATGTAACATGTAGCATAGGAATTATGTATTAATTAAATGAATACTGTTTGAAAAACAAACAAGCCTAAAGACAATGAAAGTAAACCTTCAATTGTACCCCAGCCTAATCCCTTGCCTGCTGTTGTCGTAGGGGCTTAGGGAGACTGAGGCTCAATGTTAGGGATCTCCCCTACCTTGGGCCTCAGCCCTCAACTCAACTAATTTTACATGATCTTTTTGTCTCCTACTTTTCGTCTCCTCCTTTTCCTTATTTTCCTTTAACTCTTTCCCTTGTCCAATTCTTAAGGTGTAATAGCTGTGATGAAAGGATGAAAAGTTGGCTTTGTGCCAGCCATGCACACCCTCAGGGAGCCGTGTGCATGGTTTTCCCTTGGTTAATTGTCGAGCCCTTACCCCTCACGGGGACCCTGAGGGATGGACCTCTTATCTTTCCCACATATTTGAAGCTTATCATGGCCAGTAATGAAGATTTTGTACCCTTATTAGGGTCATAGAGGCTTGCCCCTTTATTAAAAATAACCTCTCTGAATCTACCTCCTGTGATTTATTGACCCCTGACTCTCCTTTGATCAAAGCTCTGAACACTGCTATTACACCGCCTTGTAGATATAAACTATCAACATGACCCATCCTGAATCATCTACTCCTGTTAAAACTCAACCTTCGAAAGACACCCCATCCATACTCCCAATATCCTCCAACCCCCGTGCCTTCAACTTTCTTGCCCTCATCCGCACACCACTCCCTCCTCCACCCATCCTCGCCCCTCTACAGTTCCTACTTCTGCAAACCTTTTGTGTACCCTATTTAGCCTCAGCCAAATGGGACAGATTTTTTTGTGATTTTCCCAACAGCTCCTTACTCCGATAATACCCTTCTCTTTCAACAGTTCCTCCAAAGACAAGTAGGCAAAGTTTCCTTCTGCAGTTGTCCTGACTGCCCACGCCTTGTCACAGTTACATCTGAGTCCCAAGCCCATGTACTATCTAGCCTGGTTGACTCACTAGCAAACCTATTCCAAATCTACTCCGCCATTGATACATCTACTGGAATTGTTTCCATCTCCGGGGGTGATCTCCCTGTCTAGAATAAAGATTGGTTAGACTGTAAAGATGACCTACTTACTTGCCTCGCTGAATACGATGCAGTATCAGTACAGTGCTACACTTTCCCTCAGAGGATGCCGTAAGTCCCACATCAATAATGCCAAGATTACCTTCCAATTGACATGGCCTTCCCCATAAGGTCTTTATATGTGGAGAATCTTGCCCTGTCGGACCATATCAACCCCCACCCCATCTACGTCAGGAATGCCGGCGTTTTGGCCACCCTTCATAGCACCTTCACTCCACAATCCATTGCCCTCCCTGTGCCCAACCTGGTCATGACAGTTCAAACTGCCCTTCACAATTACGTATATGTGTTAATTGCAGTGGTTCCCATAATATATTTTTAGGGGGTGCCCTGCCTACAATTTTGAGCCTGATGTAGCAGTTCTCAGATACAAACTTGGCCTCACGCTACGAATGGCCAGACAGGAAGCACACCGACGAGGTTTTTAAATTATTCTGATGACATCCTTCACTTCACTCCTATCCCGTCTACAAATGTAGCCTCTACATGTTCCTCAGTACCACTCCTCAACGTCTACTCCCCCCATCTCCCAGCCAAATCCTTTTTCCATTCTAAATCCAGATACTTCAATATCCACAACTCCCCCTATGTCTCTCCCTATTCCTCGACGTATTTATCGCACCAGACAATTCAAATGTTCCACCCCATCTCCAAACACATCCCTTCCCACACCTACATCCTCTACTCCTCAGATGCCTATCTTCTTGCCTCTCGCCTCCTCATAAAAATCTTCTGTTTCCCAAACATTAGAGACTTCCTAAGTAAGACTCGAGAGAACGTTCCTCGCCCTCATCATCATCCAGTTTCTCTAGCTCCATTCCGGTTACATTCATCATCATCCTCCTCTTAATCCCCCTACTCCCTCCTAACATACCCTCTCCTCCACCCACACCAAAAACCTTCCCCTGATTCCACCTTTCCTGATGAACCTCCTGATACTACACCTTCACCCCCTTCGGCTGACCCCCTGCCTCAATCCTCAGGTATTCCTCCTCCTCCTACTTCTCAGACATCCATCTCTACCGTTCTCGCCCGTTTATAATCCACAATGACTCGCTTTCGTACTCGTAGACTTGATCTTCGTCGCCTCATGTCTTCCTACACCCATCCATTATCTGTCCAAGAAACCCTCCTAACACATCCTCCAGTACCAATTCCAAATTATCATTTTATATCATCCCCTCACTCCCCTCTATAATCTTCTACAATCATTCATCAAAAAACTCTATACCTCCCTTCCATGCCACTGTCCCTTGCATGAGTAAACGCATCTTTCTTCGCCGTTGGAAAACAGTTGTTTCAGTTTACTTTTCTCCTTCTCTTCACATTGACCTTAATGCCTTCGAAACTTCAACCACGATTCCTTATAGTCAGCGATTTTAAATGTCGCCACACTCTTTGGGGTAACTCTACCACTACTCGAGGCCGTTCCCTAGATCGGTTTCTTTCTAACACTGACCTTATCCTTCTCAACTCATATCGCCCCAACCATTTCGGCATCCTGTGTTGGGTACCAGCTCATGTTGGCATTTATGGGAAAGAGCTAGCAGATAAAAAGGCCAAAGCTGCTGCATCCTTTGCCACTGCCTTTTTGATTTTTCCCTCTCACACTCAGACCAGAAGCCCCAGATCAGAGAAACATTAAGACAGAAGTTAAGAAACTAATGGAAAAATACTTCCTCTAATAAGCTGAGAACTATTAGAGATCTTGATATCTGGATCACAAGTTTCAACGTGAACAGAAAAGTAGTACTAACAATAATCAGAATAGTACACACAAGACTAATGTCTGGATCCCCTCGTGCTATTTGCCAAAGGTAACAGGAACCACTTGAACATAGCCTATATAGGAAGCAGTAACATCTACGAGGAAGCACGGAATAATGTTTACAAAAAACATTTACTTAAAAAATATTTTGAGGGATGATTATGATTCTCATATTTTTTTTTAAGTTCCTAATAGAAAGTAATATATTTTATGAAATACAAATAACCTTATTACAGAATGCATAGAATATGTAAAAAAAAAAGATAATTTCAGATACAAAAATACAATTGAATACGCAGCTAATGTATTTAGATGTTGACGCGGTAGAACATTTTTATTATTAATAATAATTTCCTTAAACCTAAAAAATCGGCACCCTCCCTCAAGACTACCGGCCCATTGGACTGCCTATCTGCTTGTGCAAGCCGCTAGAAAGAATGGTCAATCTACGACTAATGTGGTACCTTGAGTCTAAATGTCAGAATTCTATCTTCTTCCCAATTTGGATTCCGCCCTGCTCGAAGCATAGCCGACCCTCTGGCACATTTAGAAAATTGTATAATATATAATTTCCGTACCCACTGTACCCAGGAGATGTTTGCAAAGAGTCCATAATCTAGTTCTAGGCGTTTTGAATACTTTTTATCTTGTGCTTGTGTTCCGGGGTGCCAAGATGACCTTTGAAAGGAACTGTGCTGCCATTAGATAATTTCAAGAGTCCAGAAGGAAAATGTTTGCCTCCATGAGAAAGTTGGGGACTTTTGTCCACTTGGGGGCACCCAGAAAGATGAACACCAGCTTCATTTTGAACTATCTCCATTTTTTCTCTTAGTCTTGGCTTGGTGGTAATCAGGGCGACAGAAGCTTAGTCCACAATGGGAAGTACGGCATATACTTAGAAATGATATTAGAAATTATGTTCAGCTTCTATGGGTCTTCCAGTATTTGCTCTCATGCTAGACAGCCGTGCTTTGGTCAACCAGGTAATGAACCTGCTTTTGGAAGGAGAGGATCTGGCCAATCCTTACCCCAAGGTATTGAAAGACCTGGACCCACTCTAAGTCACGCAGACTTGTACCGTGAACATTGTGTCTAAGAGTCATGGCTTTGGATTTGGCTGCAGAGTTCTTTAGTCCTCTCCTACAACACTCGTCAGATACAAGGTCCAGACAGCGCTAGACTTTTCTGAGGCAGTGTGGGCTAGTGGAGGTGATTGCAAGATCATCTGCATTGGAAATGATCTTGCACCCCACTGGTAGGTGTATGTTAAGGGTACAGGACATTAGGATATTGAAAAGGGATGGACTAAGAACCCCACCCTGTGGCATTCCATTTTCTAGTGGCATGTGCGTGATTGGAGACTTTGGAATCTGACTTTGACTGTTCTGTTCCTGAAATAGTCACCTATACAGGCCAAGAGCTTTCCTCCGATTCCATTCTGGATTAGTGCCTCCTGAATAGTAAGAGGACTTGCTAGTTCAAAAGCCTTCTCCAGGTCTAAGAATACTATCACAAGTGTGACTGTCCTGGTTGCTCCTAAGCAGCGTGTGCTGTGTTCATGCCCCTTGTGAACCCATGGAGGGGTTCATGTGGGGGACCCATTTTCCATTGGAGCCGGTTTAGCATCTGTGGCTTGCCCAGACAGCTGAGAGAGATGGGGCAATACCTCCCTGGCTCCTTTGGTTTTGGGATGGGAACTATGTCAGCCCTTTTCCAACACTGGGATAAAGTGGAAGTTTCCCAGGACTTGTTGATGAGTTGCAGAAATATAAGCTCACATGCCAGTCCTATGTGGGACATAATGGGGATGGAGATCCCAACAGAGCCCGGGGCCAAGTGAGAACTGTTTTGTATGTTTTTCTTAGTTTGTTCAGAGAAAAGATAACATCTGAGTTATCGGGTTCGGCTGCCCTTTCTTTGATAAGAACGTCTGCCTAGTTGTAGGCGTTCTTGTTTTGCCCTCAGTCCGACTGGCAGACTGTTGCTGCTTGTTCTCGCAGAGAACTCGTACACCAGCCTGTTTGCCTCTGATTGAGGGTCATGATGTGTGCACCTCACCTGACCCGTTTTCGCAGCTCTGGAAGGGTGGTCTGATCGAACTTTTGCATGGAGAATAGGATTTCATGTATTGAAGCCTTATATTTTCCACTATAGGTTGATTAGATTGTGTGTCATAATGCTACTTGTTAGTTATATCTGTGACGTCTATATATTCGGATTCAGAGTCAGTGTCCTCATCAATGGTGGTATCTGACATGTTGGAAATCCATTGTGAAAGCCTCGCACAATGAGGGATCTTCCTCTGCTTCAGGGCTATTACCTTGCTACAGAAACCACATTTGGTTTTGGCCTTGCAGCTAGCCTGGTGGTGACCATATTTCTGGCACTTAAAGCACCGAAGTGACCCAGACACATAGGTTCTTAGGCTGTAGGATTTGGGTGTGATGTGATCAGATCCACATCATCAGAAACTGAAAAGCCTAGCAGCACCATCTTGCACCATCCTATCTTCGGGATTCAGTGGTGTGATACACACTTTCCTCCCATTTTTGAGCCCCTTCGCTCCCTGCAGGAAATTCAGGGTAGCTTGATCTCTATGGACAATGATCATTCCCTGGTTTTTGGCAATCCGTATTGACAACCGGATTTTTCTCTGCATCTCCAGTGATCTCACCACCTGGTTGGCACTGTCGAAGCCTTCCGGTTGAGAAGAAACCTCAAACTGTGGGAAACGCCTAGAGGGCCCAGACTCTCCCTCAGAGTTTGTGTCCGGCCTAGATCGTTTCGAGCCGCCCCCTTGGCATGGATTCTGGGCTTTGGTCATGGGAGCAGCTGGTTTGGCTGCTCTCATCTCGGTTAGGGAAGACGTCTCAGGGGAAGTCAGAGGTTTCCTGTTTTGGGTGCAGGCCTGAACAGGCCAGCACGAGAGTCCATCTGTTGGACAATCTCATGGACATACATATTTTAGTAGTAGGTTTGACAGAGTCAGCCTTGTTTTTTTATTGTTTTTCTTGCCACTAGAAGTCATAGATGGCTTCAGAGTGAGTGCCATGGTCGATGCCTTACAAGGTACGTCATCTTTTATTATCTCAGTTTGTGTGTTTTTTTTGTTTTTCTTTGGTGACTTTGTTACCATGTAATTAAACAGTTGTTTCACCCTCTCACGCCCCCACCCACTACAGAGTCCAACAGGGGAAGTTGTATGTTAGAGCTTAGGTCTAACAGCTACAGGGGTGGTGAGAGGATATACCCAGCCAATAGACATTGTGACCGGCACTCATGGGACCTGTGTGAGTGCCAACGGCACTTGACCCTAGCCTCCCGAAGGAGACCAACCGATTGACCTGACCGGGCTAGGGTCAGGCCACTCGTCTTGCAGGAATAAGAGACCTCAGAGAGGAAGCTCAAGGCCCTGCGCCACTTCAAGGCGGTTCCAGTTGCAGGACAATATCCTAAAGGGGGGTTTCCTTCATGAACTAATTTTCAATCAACAGGTAAGTAGATTGTTAAAATTTCTTTTGATTTTTAGATATTTTACAAGTAAAGCACTAAAGGTAACTCCAACCTAACTTAGCATTACCCCCTCCACGTCAAAAAAAAAAAAAAAATGTAGATTTGTACTTTGTGCCCATCATAGCACGGCCAGGCTAATATCAACGTATATAAACAACTACAAAGTCCTACGAGAAGGCTCTCATCTGTAATGAGTCACATATTCGGTCATAGATTACACATTCCTCTTTAGTCTCTTCTTACTTCTTTCTTTTCTAAAATCTAAACACTGGGTGTTTATGTTTGTTCTCTTCGGCATAGTGCACTTCCTGTCATCACTGACTACCATAAAAATGCGTTGTGCCATTACTTATGAAGGCCGTAGACTTTCAGCAGCAGTCCACTCGCAACCTTCCAACTGGTCCCGTCTACTACCTGCTTCCCAGCCTTAAATGTCTGCATCCAGTCTGCTAGTCTGCAATGTCATTCATCCAGCTTCTTGGTCGAGATATTCTTCGGCTCCTTGGTGTGCGTCTTTGGATGATTCGTATCAAGGTTCACTTTAGTGTAGCTCGGATATACGTAACCCAAGTATTTTTTTTTATTTTCTGTTGTTTTGCCAACTTTCTTGTAAATCTTTCACTTGGTGTATATCTTGGAGGACAAATACATTAACGAAGGCAACTTAAACCAAAGCATCTCAAAAAATGCGTCTTACACTGCTCTCTCTTTAAGTCCGTGGTCCGCTGCCACACAGAAACGTAGTTAGCAAAGGTGAATATATCATTTGAATTCGGGAATGATCTGGATTAGTTCTTCCATACTGGATTTCTCTTTAGAAGGGCATGGTTGCAATTGTAATCGATTTTACTCCAGGTTCATGGTCATTACTGAAGGTAATATTAATATATATGCATTGGTAATATCCCCTAACCGCCTGTGGGCTACTTGAAACATACTTTTTCTTGCATATAGATGAGACTCTTAGTACGATGATTTTCACAGGTTACATTTGCCCTTGGGAATGGTAGCTGACCCCATATCCACGGCAGGCCACTTCCAGGGCTCAGGAATGGCATTGCACATGGAGAATATTTAGCACTGCATTACAATAATATATGATGAATTTGTTTTGAATGTGGTTAATATCTGTTACTTTATGGGATTTAAGGTGCCTAATTGCAGATCTGGTAACTATAAACTGTGAGCATTCTATTCGACTAAATGTGCTTTGAATGTTCCAGCATTACTGTTGCCATTGTCAGTCATATGCCTGCCCTTTCACTGATGGCGCGCGCTTCTGTCTTCACGTTGTTGTTTAAATGTAGCTTCACTTTTATCCATCCATCCATCCATTCATTCATTCATTCATTCATTCATTCATTCATTCATTCATCCATCCATCCATCCATCTATCCATCCATACATGCATACATGCATACATACATACATGCATACATGCATACATGCATACATGCATACATGCATACATGCATACATGCATACATGCATACATGCATACATGCATACATGCATACATGCATACATGCATACATGCATACATGCATACATGCATACATGCATACATGCATACATGCATACATGCATACATGCATACATGCATACATGCATACATGCATACATGCATACATGCATACATGCATACATGCATACATGCATACATGCATACATGCATACATGCATACATGCATACATGCATACATGCATACATGCATACATGCATACATGCATACATGCATACATGCATACATGCATACATGCATACATGCATACATGCATACATGCATACATGCATACATGCATACATGCATACATGCATACATGCATACATGCATACATGCATACATGCATACATGCATACATGCATACATGCATACATGCATACATGCATACATGCATACATGCATACATGCATACATGCATACATGCATACATGCATACATGCATACATGCATACATGCATACATGCATACATGCATACATGCATACATGCATACATGCATACATGCATACATGCATACATGCATACATGCATACATGCATACATGCATACATGCATACATGCATACATGCATACATGCATACATGCATACATGCATACATGCATACATGCATACATGCATACATGCATACATGCATACATGCATACATGCATACATGCATACATGCATACATGCATACATGCATACATGCATACATGCATACATGCATACATGCATACATGCATACATGCATACATGCATACATGCATACATGCATACATGCATACATGCATACATGCATACATGCATACATGCATACATGCATACATGCATACATGCATACATGCATACATGCATACATGCATACATGCATACATGCATACATGCATACATGCATACATGCATACATGCATACATGCATACATGCATACATGCATACATGCATACATGCATACATGCATACATGCATACATGCATACATGCATACATGCATACATGCATACATGCATACATGCATACATGCATACATGCATACATGCATACATGCATACATGCATACATGCATACATGCATACATGCATACATGCATACATGCATACATGCATACATGCATACATGCATACATGCATACATGCATACATGCATACATGCATACATGCATACATGCATACATGCATACATGCATACATGCATACATGCATACATGCATACATGCATACATGCATACATGCATACATGCATACATGCATACATGCATACATGCATACATGCATACATGCATACATGCATACATGCATACATGCATACATGCATACATGCATACATGCATACATGCATACATGCATACATGCATACATGCATACATGCATACATGCATACATGCATACATGCATACATGCATACATGCATACATGCATACATGCATACATGCATACATGGATAGATGGATGGACAGATGAATGGATGGAAAGATAGATAGATAGATAAAGCTAAAGCTACATTTAAACAACCATGTGAAAACAGAAGCGCGCGCCATCTAGCTGTCAGCGCCCGAAACCAAAGCGACGGCAGTGTCGATAATCTGATTCAGATTATGTGAAAAAAACAGATTGATAATGCGGATTAACATATCAGTTTATCACATCACACCTTTCCGTGTTCCCTAACGTCAGTACACGATCTTGGCCCTCCTTCAGCACAGCTTTTCCGGTCGACCAATGCAAAGGGACGAATAAAAAAAGGTATGGAAGAAAAGGGACCTGCCATATGCCCTACAGTACTTGTTATCTGCTCTGCCTGTATAGTGGAAGTGGAATTCCAACCTCATGTCGAAATCTGGCTGTAGAGTCACTTACTCGGCGTACGCATCAGTGAATCGTGGAAATGATCTTTTATTTGTCTTAGTATGCTGATGTTTCTGTCGTGAATATTTAAAAATATATATTTACCGTTGTTGTTTGTATTATGGTATTGGTATCATCATTTTCATCATCTTCGGCATCATCATAATCACCAGCACTGGTCATATTCTGAACACTTTCGCGAGATAGTGGTGTCGATGGATTCCAATCACTGTCTACTGTCCATATGTACTGGACATTTGACGTTGAGACCCCTAGCACTCACACCCCGATAGCAGGGGAGGGCATGGGAGTTATCAGGGGAATTACGGGATAAATTGTGAATAAAATACACCAAATATGTCACTTTGATAATAACATACACATGATAAGTCACTATGTTAGAGGCTGTACCCCTCCGTTAGCTCCCATGTAGGGTTGCCCCCCCAACCCCCGCCCTGTAAAACAAATCATCCTCCACTTATTTATTGCAGGTAGACCACGACCGACATGCGGGTTGCACGCGCCAAGGTACAGCCTAGTGAGGATAATTTAGTAACCTGATAGATTTGTGACGATGATCTGGGATGCCCTACATTCTGACTATATCGCACGGTAGTACGATGCTACTCAGGGTACACTCCCAGAGCCATGTGTTTCGCTTTTTTTCCGTCCTGCCGCGCATATGTGAGATATTCTTTGTGGTCTCGGGTGGGCTGGGGGGCAGTAGCATCCCCCAGGGGACGCAAGGGACGCAGCCCCCTGCAATAGATATACCGGTGTATGATATATGTTCATAGTGCAATCACATTTCCTGGGAGCCCACAGTGCCGAGTCTGCTCTACTCTCTTTCCTGCCTTACGCACGTGGTGAATTCTTTGTTGTCCAGGGGTGGCAGCCATATATATATATATATATATATAATATAATATATATCATACATACATACATACATACATACATACATACATACATACATACATACATACATACATACATACATACATACATACATACATACATACATACATACATACATACATACATACATACATACATACATACATACATACATACATACATACATACATACATACATACATACATACATACATACATACATACATACATACATACATACATACATACATACATACATACATACATACATACATACATACATACATACATACATACATACATACATACATACATACATACATACATACATACATACATACATACATACATACATACATACATACATACATACATACATACATACATACATACATACATACATACATACATACATACATACATACATACATACATACATACATACATACATACATACATACATACATACATACATACATACATACATACATACATACATACATACATACATACATACATACATACATACATACATACATACATACATACATACATACATACATACATACATACATACATACATACATACATACATACATACATACATACATACATACATACATACATACATACATACATACATACATACATACATACATACATACATACATACATACATACATACATACATACATACATACATACATACATACATACATACATACATACATACATACATACATACATACATACATACATACATACATACATACATACATACATACATACATACATACATACATACATACATACATACATACATACATACATACATACATACATACATACATACATACATACATACATACATACATACATACATACATACATACATACATACATACATACATACATACATACATACATACATACATACATACATACATACATACATACATACATACATACATACATACATACATACATACATACATACATACATACATACATACATACATACATACATACATACATAATATATATATATATACATATATATATATATATATATATATACATACATACATACATATACATACATATATATATATATATATATATATATATATATATATATATATATATATATATATATATGTAGGTTGTAGAGAGTGAGATAAAAGCATCGATATCACTATGCGAAGGTCACCATCACCCTCATCCTCATCCTCTTTATCATCATCGACATCATTACCGTGAATCACCATCATAATCAACATCACTATCACCATCATTATCATTCTTATCATCATTATCATTATTGTATCATTATTGTCTTATCGTTATCATTATTGTCATCATTATTGTTACTAGTATTATTATCAATATTATTGTTATCATCATTATCATTACTATTAATATTGTCTTGATATTATTATTGTTATTACTGTTATTATTATTATTATTATTACTACTACTATTATTACTATTATCATTATTACTATTATTATTATTATTATTATTATTATTATTATTATTATTATTATTATTATTATCATTATTATCATTATTATCATTATTATTATTGGTAGAAAAACCCATAATGCACACAGTCGAAATCCACCTGGGAGTCCAGACGTGAAGATGGAATCCAGGTGGAATTCAAAACAGTAGTCTCATTTTCAATAAATTTAATTTGTGCAGTGTGCATTTTTCTACCATAGTATCAACAGTGTATAGTATCAGTGTATTAATGTTTTACCGCACATTATTATTATTATTATTGTTATTATTGTTATTATTATTATTATTATTATTATTATTATTATTATTATTATTATTATTATTATTATCATTATTATTATTATTACTACTACTATTATGTGTATATCATCACTAATCTAATCAGTTGATCCATCCATTATT